ACGAAAAACAAGACTGATTTATTTGGTAAAATTCTTAGCTGGTTGTGATAACTTACTGATATAAAGGATCTTTCTAAGTGTCACTGATGTACTTTTCTCTAAACGATATTGCTCCCCAGTGACACAGCGATATGTCTACCGACTTACAACGCTAAAAACCGGGTTTCGATCCACGTGGTGGGCAGAGCACAGATAGCCCATTTTGTAGCTTTGTGCTTAATTACAAACCAACAAACTTTACGATATTTATTAACAATTCTCTGACATATAATGAAATTTGTCTAGATGTAGACACTCTTTTAGAAAAATAAAAATGTTTCTTACCTAACTGAACGACGATCACACAAAGAAAGCTAATTGTCTTCATCATGATAACACCTATGTTTACAATCGTCAGTATTTCTACTGCATGTTATTGCTCTGCGGAGGTTTTATATGTTCAGAAAATAGTAGATAGTAGTATGCAGTATCACGTGACGACAAAAAACGTTATCATGAAAATACAGCATTACGTTTCAGGATCTTGTGTTGTTTTTAAACATCCAATAGTACAATGTGGCGGATGTTAGTCATCTAAATTCCCGAGTTTCACTTTCTAGGAAGACTATAATTACTTATTCGCTATAAACTTTGATTTGCTTTTTCTGTTATTTTGTCAGTTTCGCAAAAAAAATTATGAAGTTTGAAAGTATATTTTTCAAGAAAACCATTTAACTTAATGTGCATGTATTGGAAAGCAAGTGTTGACTATAATTCTGATTTTACTAAGTGTACCTACATGAAATTGACAATTGTTGAGGAAAACGTAGAAGTCTGTTGTGCCAAAAAGAATTAGATGTGTTACAAACGTACCAATGTACAAGCTAAATCTGTGAATTGACGACGTCAGACTCCAACATGTGGGAGCGCACATCACTCATGTGAAGAATAAAAATACTTTTGCCTCTCGGACAGTTTGCATAACCTTTATAACCTCCAAAATGCGTATCTACAGTTTTACAGTATCCCTTGATATTGTATCTGGTACTTACTCTCTTCTTTCACGAAATCTCGCTAAATGAGCAATGTAGGGTGAAATGAAGAGATGATAACTCTGACATCAAATACATAATACCATGTTGAATGGCACTCTGTACAAGGTCATGGCATGTCCACTTTGATCCCCACTCGTGCAGATAGGGTTAAATATCGTTATATTTCCTTGTGTTTCTAGAATACTTTCAAACAAACAAATACACAATGGGCTATCTGCGCTGGGCCACCACGGGTATTGAACCCCGATTTTTACTGTTATAACTCCGAATCTTATCACTGAAACACAAGGGACAACCAAAAGGCAGGATTTAAATAACAAGGAAGCTTTGATAGAGGACAAAGATTAGTATGATTGAGAAGTTTGTGTATAATTTTTCCTTAATATTCTTGTTGCTATTTGTTATTAAGCACAAAGCTATACAAAGGGCTATCTGTGCTCTGCCAACCACGGCTATGAAAACCCAATTTCTTGTAATATAAGTCCGCAAACATACCACTGTACCACTGAGGATTCCGGCATGGCCAGGTGTTTAGGGTGCTCGGCTCGCAATCTGCGGGTTCGAATCCCCGTCCCACCAAACATGTTCGCCCTTTCAGCCATGGAGGCGTTATAATGTGACGGTCAATCCCACTATTCGTTGGTAAAAGAGTAGCCCAAGACTTGGCGGTGGGTGGTGATGACTAGTTGCCTTCCCTCTAGTCTTACACTACTAAATTAGGGACGGCTAGAACAGATAGTCCTCGTGTAGTTTTGCGCGAAATTCAAAAACAAACAAACAAAGCCACTGAGGGGCTCTTAGTATTCTCTATTTGGTGTAGGAAAAGGAATTAGCCGAGTTCATTTAGTTGCAATTCACAAATATAGTGTAAGTACCAATAACATGTTCTTACGCTACTACATCTAAACTACGTCTTACACCACCATTTCTAGTTCAAGTTTTACATTATTATATTCAGAATAAATCTTGAAGTACCGTGTGTTGATTAATTCTTATACTACTGCTTTCCAATTAAGTATAAAATATCGTTAATAGCGATGGTACCCAACTGATGAAACAATGTAAAGAACGTAAGATAAAAATATTTAATTGTCTATACTTGCTACCACGTTGATTTTTAAAAAAGTTTTTACGTAAATAGGTAGCTTCCTCTGATCAGAACATGATATAATTACCAAGTCTAATTTAAATGTTACAATGCCATATCTTGATCAAATCATTTGTTAACATATGTAGATTATGTCCTATAATATCAGCTCTAAATCTATCTATCTATATATAAGCACGAATGTCTCTCTCTCTCTCACCCCGTGGAAGTCTCTTCCTTATGCACGGCCACATCTCTACAGCTACAAACTCCAAACTCGGGGTGCAGATACAACTTTGTGCGGGAAGTAACATGTACTATGTAGTCGTTTTGAGACCAAATTGAGGACAAAGTGACCAATATAGAAATTTTTGGCAAAGAGGACGACCATTAGTCTCCAATTGAAAAGGCTAGGTTTTTTTTATGGTAATGTGTGATCAAAGGAGGCTGTTATTTACATTTCTTCTCTGTGTGAGGACTTCTAATCATTCTAGCCACGATCAATTATGTACTAAAACGATTTAAAAACTTCGTGGAGCATTCATTTCCACTCCCCCCGCTTTTTTTTTCTATACATACATGGTTACTCTCTAACTCCCCTTAACTGAGAAACGCTGGTGTTTTCTCTCAAGCATGCACGTGCACTCCCTCAACTAATTAGGCTTGCTTCAGCCATATTTTTTTGCTTTGCTTGTGTGTGTACTCGCAAGAAACAGCTATGCGATGACTTTACAAAAACCTTTGATATCGATAAATTTTCATTTACATTGTATTGCAACAAGAAGGGAATAAATCAATTCCTCATTTAATGGAAAGATAATAAAGTCAGAATACTCTGCAAACGACACTTGATCGCACAGCAGAAATCAGGATAATAAAAGGTAGGGAATTTTGTTTTGGAAACTTGAAATATCATGTAAAACATATGCAAGAAGCAGGATCAATGTTCCCAGTTTTTCTTTGATTAAATGTCCTTCATGCCAAAATAGGGTTTCCATTATTTTTCTCTGAAAAGTTTTTAAGTTCCTCTTCAAAGTATTTACTTCAACACATTTGAATCACAAAATACATTTATTGAACAAACAACTTTTTGTATACAAAAGGAAAAGAACATTCGTTATAAACAGTGAATTTTGTAAAATAATATTTGAGCAATTTTATTTTAATATCGTTCTTATATGATTCATTTACACGTGACTGTATTGGAGAAATTTAGATATGGTAGATTTATACTTAACTAACAGAGTAACCGGCGTTGCTCGGGTGAAAATAGATTTAAATATTTAAAGTTGTTTTGATTAACTCAAATATATTTGTAGTTGGTTTTTTGCAAAAAAAAAAAAAAATCGAAATTATTTCTTTCCCTAACTAAATATTTTGATTAAAATCAGTAAAAATAACAATGTGCGAAAAAAATGAAAATTCTGTTGAGCTTTCATAGGGGTTTTTGATTTCAATGTTAGTATATGTATTTATATTGCATGACTGAAATTACAGATATAAGCTACTAATAAAAAATTTCCCATTATAATAAAAACAAACAATAACAAAATACACCTGGTATTTTATAGAGTGATCTTTTTATTAATAGCACAATTTACCGTTTTCTCGTAAAATAATTACACCTCAAAGTTCAGTTACGAAAGTACCAATTCTATGGACCTTACCACACAGATGTTCACTTAATTGCTGCTTATAATTGTATGGTATACGTCATGACTTGTTAGAAGTTGTAGAGAGATCTTGTTAATAAGGGATACCTACAGTTAGAGACAAACATTTAATGTGACAGATAGCCGCTTTTGAGGACTGGCTGAGTGGTAATAGCCCAAATCGAGGTAGATTTAAAGGAAAATTCGTTTAACTCTTAAAATTACAGAACTCAAGGAATGATTATCCTGTTCGCGTTAATCTAGTGGCATCTTTCCAAATAAATTTAAAAGTATTATGAAATTTTACTAGTGGCATTCAGTAGATTAAAGGGGTTAATTCGTAGTTTCTCGGGAAGGAAACGAGCTTAAGTCCTCGTCACGTACTTTGTAATGTGTGTTCTACCGTCATCTGAGTACATTTCACTGTTTTTTAGAATATTTAGCGTATACTTTGACCTATTGCTAAACGAAGTATAAATTTCACTCGCCACCTACAGGAAATTTCTTGGGAATCCCAGTGAAACAATATTTACTGACGACACAACTGCAATCAAAAGAGGTTTGTTTAACATAACCTAATACATAGTGCTCGAAATAGTTATTGATCATATTTAGTTACCATAGATCTTCGCCTACGAAGCTGGATGTTTTGGAGGTAATATTTATTAGTTAGTTAAGTAAATCATTTGATTTCTCAAATGTAAAGTCGGTAAAGTACATATGTGACATGTTACATGAAATAACTGTTAACATTGTCTTATTAATTTTAGAAGTACCTGTGTAATTTGATATGAAATACAGTTGTGCTGTTAGTTCTTCATTTGAATTATTTTTACTACCGGCGTTCCTGGCACATTCATTGTAGATTCTTTTGACATAACAGTTAGAGATTAGCTGAATTGTTCAAGCACACACACAATAAGCAGTCAAAACCAAAATTTTCAGTGTTGCTTTCAACTAAGTACGAGTATGATAATAGAAAATAATGTGATAGATATTAATGACTTTTTAATAAGCTGGTAACAATATAAATAATAACTGTATAACCTACTATTACATTATGTTAAATTTAAGGAAACGGACGGAGCTGACAGACGATATACACACACACATACATACATACATACATACATACAAGTATAATGAAAAAATTATCGCTAAATAAAAAAAGCTTGTAGGGCTGGCTACTGAACTTGAAAAAACAACAACTAACAAGATAAGGATGGAAGTGGACATTTCACTTGATCGGCTAATGACCACACAGCAGACTAAGCTGTCTCAATTTTACATGGAGAATAAAATCCTTATTTTACTGGCTTCCCCACTTTGTCTATCGAAAGCTTGGTGTTTGAAAATAATCTCAGTTTTCATCATTATACATTTCCTTTAGTTAACTTTAGAAAACCATTTTTATTACTACTTTACAATAGAGTATGTTTTACGATCGGAAATCCTGGTTGTATTTGTTTTGCTATTGTGAAAGCCAATAATGTTGGGATTTTATTCTCCATGTAAAGTCGAGACAGCTTATTTTATGTGATCTTTAGCCGGATCTAGTGATACGTCTGGTTTCATCCCTATCTAGTTTGGTTCCTTTTTTCTAAGTTCAGTAAGCAGCTCTACATAGAGATTTTTTTTTTTACTTATACTTGCACGTTTACTTTTTTTTTATAAAATGGCGTACGTGGGTTACTAGGTTATAGAGCATTCTAAAGCTTTATAAGTTTTGCATAGAATAATAATAAAATAAAAATGATGATAAAATTATAGTTGCTGCTAGATCTAGGTAGGCGCTAGGCCTGTTGAAGAAAGATGATGATGAAAGAAAATAGGAAATTTTGGTTTTGATTATTCGCCGGTTTTCCACTTTGAGACTCTCTGAATAGCAGCATATATATACAGTAGATAGAGCGACCAAGCCAGGTAATTCTTGATATCTAGCTTCTGATGACCTGTAGTGAACTTTCCGATATATGAATATGCAGAAACGACAAAATTAATAAAATACACAAAATTTGGGCACGTTGTCTTAACTTATGGTACCTTTATGTTAAATAAAGAGGTGAAGCTTTTTCTTTTTCCAATTGGTAGCATGGGAAAAATAATCCTGTTAGACTAAACATTAATGACTACAGAGATCGCGTACGTTATATTAAAACTACTTTGGAGCCTCACAACAATAAATGTTGCCACATCTAGTCATACCTATCTAACAATTGTGCATCGTTACAACAGTTCTGCATAGTTTCCTTTGCAAACTCCGTGACTGCCTTCCATAAGTCATTCACTGGTGACAGAAGCATTTCAACTGTTACATGGAATTTGTAGTGGGGTTTGGAATATTGAAGAACATACTAGGAGCAAAGCACAGAATATAGAGTACAAAACCCACAAGAATCAGCCAGGAATAATCTCTGGGATCCCACTCGTAAGCCCATGTCAAAGAATCTTTCAACACAGAATTGTTGTGTAGACCTTGTAGTTGGATGAAGACAATTAGGTAAAGTCGCCAGATACAGCACTTGTATATTTTTGTTAATTTGGATGTTGAATTGGGCTGTAGTGGGGAAGTTACAACATTTGCTAATGCATTATATATTTAATAACAAATGAACAGCACCATCTTGCTCATTCAACCCTGGTTTGATTCTATTAACTAACAGACTTTTATTTATATGCAGTTCCTGTTCATTATTTATCTTAGCAATGATTTTAAATTGTTCGCTCTTACAGGTTCATTACAATCATTCAGTGGGAGATGTTCAAACTCTCTCATACACATATCAACAGAGTTGGAAAGTATGAAGAATATCTACAAAACAAGAAAATATTTGTTTGTTCAACTGAATGACAACTTATGCATACAGTGGGCTCAGCTAAATGGCCAGGTCATAGATCTACATGGTTCACATATAGCATTCCCAAATTAGGAAGAAGGCAAAAAAAAAAATGAAAAATGAAAATCCTTAGATAAAACAAGAACTTGAAATATCTAACATTAAAGTAATTATAGCACAGTATTAAAAAGAATGGTGCAATTTGGTCATACATGAATGTATCAGAAATGACCTTATATACCCCTTTCATCAT